AATGAAAATTTTTGCCTGAATCCTTGTAAGTTTAAAGGGATTAAACTGGGCCAAAATTTGTTGTTGTTGTTGTTGTTTTTTTTTTGCAATTATTGCTCTAAAACCATGTTTGTTACAGCTATTAAATAGCCCTCTTTTATGGATATTATTTGCAAAAATGAACTTCATAGAACAAGAGTTTGAATAAAAATAATATTAGGGAAGGAGTTTTGCTTTGTCGGTCCCCAAGGAGAAGTGACCACAAGACCGCGAGTTGCGTGCTGCCGATCAACTTGCATAATTGATGCGTTGCACAAACTGGAGAACCACTCAGACAAACTGAGAGCAGTTTGTTCTTTCTAGAATCCTATCAAGTATCAGCTCTTCCAAAGTTTGTGAAGATAGTTTGGAAATTACAAATTAAGACCGTGGAATTTATGAATATGGGATGGAAAACAAACGAAGGGCGAAATCGCAACGATTCACCATTGTGAATGGTTATATCTCAAAAAATATATCAAACTTGTATATTTAGTAAAACGATATTCACCATGTAAACCAATGTAACTGACAAGGAGCCATGAAAAAACCAATTCCATTTTGGCTCCAACACGGCATACTTTCAAATAACTGCTGTCACCTTAGTGACTAAAGTTCAATCACTTAGTCCCTTGCTAAAACGTCATGAGAGCATGATGGTGAATCGGTGGTGCTCTTCATTTCTTTACACAGAGAGTCGTGCAAAAATGCCACCCAATTAGTCAATTACTTTATCTGTCAATCTCGCCCGAAAATGACAGACGTTGCCCCATTGGTCGAATTTTTACTCAAGAAATTGGACAACAATTCGCATCTTGTAATGTTCATTTTGCCGTCGTCTAGTCAGCACTATTGAAACACCAGTACAACGCACAGGTAAGTTTCTCACTTTGTTTAGTGCTGCAAAATATGGGCATAAGTTGATGACATAAACGTTTTTACCCTTTATGGAACAAGCAGAGCGGTAACAAGCTTAAGAATAGTGACAGGCAAAGATTCGCTGGCAAATTTAATAGTCGGATAAAGATGAACTGCGCTGCCTCGATTTCTAGTAAAGTAATGGTTTGTGGCTTAGAACAGTAATTCAAATTAAACGTTTCTTTTTTTTTTGGCTTTTTCTATCCTTTTTCAAATACTTATTAATTTACACGGTTATGTCTCTTTTGTAAACGATGCATGTTACAGCTATTAAATGGCTCTCTTAATGGATATTATGAGAAAGTTTACTTAGGACAAGAATTTGAACATACTATTTATTACTTTCTCGAAGAAAAGGTTTTGATTTGGGAGAAAAAGTCTACAAAATCCGTTCCAGTGCATACATCCAAATTGAACGTTTAGCTTTCGAATTTGTAGTATAACCTATACCTTTTGTTTTTGACATCCTGATAACTTGTAAAGAGATTTTTAGGGAAGTTTTTTCCTCGTTGTACCAAAAGAAGTGACCCGGAATAAAACAAAGTTGCGTGCTGCAGATTACTCTTTCACAAAAATGCACACTGGTGAGCCACAGTGACTATACTTTTAAATTTGGGAATTCCATAGGGAGAAATCTCAACGGTTTTCAACTGGGAATCGTTACCTCAAGATTTAGTCCAGCTTAGATATTTCTGTAAGAGAGAAACGTATTCCATTCTGGCTCCAAAACACAAACTTTTAAATTATCTCTGTTAACATGGTGAATTTTGAGGTCAAAACTCCTTCGCTGAAACTTAGAGAAAGAGAACGCCCTTTCAGAGAATAATCGTTAGTCCATGGTGCCCTTTCATTTACCTAAGCAAAGACATCGTGCAAAAGTGCCATGCTAATTAGATTTTTGTTAGTCCCTCGACCCGCCCAAATGAAATGACAGACATTGTCACAGTGCAGTGTGGCCGAATTTTTACTCAAGACATGGGCAAATATTCGCATCTTGCAACGTTTATTTTCCCGTTGTCTGGTCAGCAACAGAGAGCTTTAGAAACAACAACGCCGACGGCTGCAAAAACGTCACTTAAAAAAGAATTCTCGCTGCTTCAAACTTTATGCGCTTAGTTTAATCCATCTCGTTCAATTTATCGAATATTGGCGAATTTTTCTGGAGTTGAACTCTAAAGGACTGTACAGGGGAAACTTCAGGGCGTGATGCACGAACAAAGTTGTTGTTTTGCTAAACCTATTGAGTTTTTGCCGATTTCGTTGCCGCTTCCGTCGCCGTCGCCGTCGCCGTGGACGTCGTTTCCTAAGCTGCCTATTAACAGAGACTTTTAGATTCGAGGAGGAGCACGAGATTTATAGTTGAAGTGTTTACACTGGACAGCTCTAAAAAGATATACCCCGGAAAGCTTCATTGTTTTTTTTTTAACCAGAAACGTTAGCACGGTCATTTTTATTAAAGGAGGTTAAGCCGTATGCGTTGATGAAATGAAAGTTTATAAGCCGTTAGCGAACCTAAGAATGCACTGGCTAAGCTATGCTTTTTGTATGCAGTACTATGCAAATTTAGAAGTCGAATATGGCGATGCATGAACGGCGCTTTCTCGATTTCTTGTAAAATTCCGGAATTGACTCCTAGAGAAGTTTTACAAGGCTAATTTTCCTACAATCAGGAATTTCTACTTTTGTGTTTGCTTTATATGGGCCATTGGAAATGAATTAACTGTAATCGGTCAGTTCCTTTGTCTAGCCTCCACAGGTCAGCTGTGATTTAGGTAAAAGGGGTTATGTCACGAGGATATTACTGTTTTACGTCATTTCTGTGCTGAAGTGATTACTTATAGTGCATTTACACGATATTAGTAGAATATCAATATTCAGATTCGACCACGGTCTCGCGGCAAATCCTGTTTGCTGAACGAGATCATAAGTTTAATTCAGGTAATTTTCTAGGGCATATAGCCATCAAACGTTTAAAGGCAACTCTGGTAGTTCTTATCTTGACTCAATTGTCAACATTTATCATGTTTTGCTCTGTTAATGAACTGTAATATAGGGCTAACCTAACGCGGACAAACCCTTACCGAGGCTCTGGAATGCCGGCTAGTTAAATCAAGATCGGTAGTCGGTTTATTGACGTAATAAGAACAAAACTATGAATAACAAGCTCAGCTTTTCGTTTGTTGCTCAAAGTATGTTGTGCTTGAATAATTTTAGGAAGTTTTAACTTGGCGGCTGACTGTAGGCTAGTCATTAATGGTTTTACTTG